CTACATTAACACAGCTCCAATGCCTACATTACAGGCATCAGTCTCAACAACAAAAGCCAACGAAAAGTCAGAGAGGGCTAATACACGAGTTGTGGTGAGGAAAACTTTAAGTTGGTTGAAGGCTCTTCTAGCCCCTTCAGTCCATGTGAACCCATCTTTTTTAAGCATATAAGTGAGAGGTTTACTGATCACCCCATATCCTCTTATGAACCTCCTATAATACCTTTCTAACCCCAAAAAACCTCTTAACTGTGACACAAATTAAGGCTCAGTCCTGGATCAGTAGATACCCCTTGAGCTGAGATATAATGACCTAAGTATTCCACCCTCTTTGCAGCAAAAACACACTTACTTCTCTTTGCCAACAACCTATGTTGGAGTAGTAAGTCAAAGACCCTTCTTAAGTGCTGCAGATGTTCTTCCAAGCTCCTGTTGTAAACTAGGATATCATCAAAGAAGATCAAGATGAATTTCCAGAGATGCTCTTGGAAAATGTGGTTCATCAGACTCTGAAAAATGGATGGTGCATTGGTCAACCCAAAGGGCATGACCAGGTATTCATAGTGCCCAGAATGAGTTTTGAATGCTGTCTTATGAACATCATTTGGTGCCATTCTAATCTGATGGCACCCTGCCCTTAGGTCTATCTTGGAGTAAATCTATGACCCTCCCAACTCATCTAGGAGTTCTTCAATGATGGCTATGGTAAATTTGTCCTTGATGGTCACCTTGTTAAGGGCTATGTAGTCAACACACAGCCTCCAAGATCTATCTTTCTTGCTCACTAGCATCACTGGAGAGGCATAAGGACTAGAACTGTATTGTATGATGCCTTGGTTCATCATTTCCCTAACCATTGTCTCAATGACATCCTTCTACACTGGTGAGTATCTATAAGGTCCTAAGTTAACTGGTAAATTGCCCTCCTTCAAGGGAATATAGTGATCAAACACTCCTCTTGAGGGAGGTAACTGTGTAGGGCTCTCCAAACATCCATGCATACTCATCAAGAACTTGATTGAGTTCCACAGATTCCTCAACCTTTTCAGGTTCTATCACCTCCTCTTCTTTATATTCTGCCTCTCTTACCTTGACCATGAAGAACTGGGATCCTTCAATGGCCATTTTGCTCATTGCTTTTGCTTGGACTGTTTGAATTTAGGCTAAATCCCTTGCAAAGTGAGCAGCTGCCCTTTATACTCAAATTCAATCATGAGCTTTCTAAAATTGAACTTAATATCCTCTAAGGGGAAGAGCCATTGTATTCCCAATACTATGTCACTTTTTCCAATTGGGAATACTACAAAGTCATCCTGGAACACAGCCCTTGTATTAACCATTGGAATCTGTTACACATACTGTGATACCCCATGTGTTTTTTTTCTCTTCTCTTACGTAATATACGTAATGTGGCGTGGTTATATTAGGTATATATGATTGGGTATAGCACATTGGGAGAATAAGACTGAAAATGTGTGGTAATATCAAGGAACTAACTAAAGCTTTAGGTCAAAGGAATCCCTTAAACAAAGGTTCGTGGTTAAAGAAATGGCTCGGGTAGCACCCCGCGCGTTCGGAAGGTTCAAATTAACTTGCACCTGTGGGATAAGACTAAGAGTGTCTAATATGCTAAGAATAGTGTATTATGAGGTATTATAATATCACACGGGTCACATGTTAAGTTTTGGAGTCAAGCAAGTTGCGAAATAAAGGTCGGCAAAGGTTATCGTAAATTTCTCTAATAATTTTTCTAAACTTTGGGTCAAATGTATCAGATCATTTCTCCCCATATATAATGAGTTATGGGACCGACAACCTATCAAATTGAAGGTCTACAAGTCTAGTTCGCAACCAAAAAAACTTCACATCAAATGAACATTGGAGTAAAAGGTCATGACTATTTTACCCCGGACTGTCCAGGCTGAAACCGGGTCAAGAAACCGAGTCGGGTCAAACAAGTGGTATAAGTCGGCAAATCCGACTTGTAAGACCCCAAAACATTTCATTTTCGTCCCAAAGCTGAAGAGAGGGTTCCATGGTGTTCTTGAGTGATTAATGTACGTTTTAACGATTTCTACTGTTAAAGTTTGTCCCCAAGCCTAGAAACTCAATCTCTACACTTTGTAATCGTTTCCCCCTTCTATTAGCTGTGTTTGGAACTATTTTTGGAAGATAGGAATTTGTTGTTCTTGCTGGTTCTTCAGGCTTTATACTTGAATTTCCAAGGTAATCATCTTGGGACTCTTTTATGATCGTTTTTACAAAGTTCTACGGACGTTTCGTCAAGTTAGGGCCATATGGCAAATCTGTCGATTTAAAATCAATTATGAACTATTTATAGGTGCGTATAAGCTGCATATATATAGTGTTTGCGAAGCTTAGGACGTAAATAACAACTTTCGTGAAGGAACTAAGGCATTCGGACGTTCGTTGGGAAGGTATGTTAAGGCTAAGCTCTGTCCTTCCTTTTTCCACGAATTCTTGGAAATTCCTAGGACATCAAATGTGATATTTTACTATTATATTGCTAGAAAGACCTTCTGTGAAAGGCATTGGGATCGTAGCTGAAGTATTTTCATGATGCTATTAGGTTGATATTCCACTCGTTCGGTTAACTAGGGTATTCGACATCTATATATGTCATTTTGTCGGTTTTCTTATCCATATGTCTATATATATGAATTCTTATTCGTCTTTGGGTTGTGTGACTAAACAAAATAAAGGCATGTAGTATTTACGATCAGTCCTTCTTCCTTGTTAAAGTATATTTTAAAATCTCTAAAGTGACACATCGATTTCCAAAAATCTCAAATATAAATTTTACGTTTAAACTATTAAAACACTTGATTTTTGATATACTTTCCTTTACTAATTATTAAGAAATCAGGTATAAGGACTAAGTGAAGCACCTTAAGCTTTTTATGAACATCTTCAGAGTTAAGTTATCTTTCTAAAAGTTGAGGTAAGTTTTCGAGCTTATTTTATTCAAAGAAAACATATGAGGTTCCACGAGACAATTGTATTCGATACGAAGGTGATTATGAGATCATGAGGATAAGAGTACCTATGAGCCAAGATTTGCTAAGTTCTTATTATGGCCTATTATGTGCATTCAAAAGTTCATATCATACATGGCATATTATGTATGGACTTCGAGCTTTAATCGGAGGTAAGGGTCTATTTGCCCGAAAAACTATATATATTGTACAGATGGCCACAGGTTGGCAATATGATACCGGTTAGCTATCGGGAGAGACCGCCATTGCTAGCATTTGGTTGGGTATGTCATGCATGTGCATCAATATATATGTATTCACGACATACGCTTACACGAGCATACCATGCATAATTGACTACAATGAGGTCGGATGTCGGTCATAGAGGCTATAAGAGTTTTAGTGTCAGGTGGTGTCACTATTATTTTTTTTACATCAGCTATGTATGATTCTACTTTCTGCCTTACATACCAGTACATTTTATTTGTACTGATGTCCCGTTGCCTGGGGACACTGCATTTTCGTTTTGTGCGTGCAGGTCCAGGTAGGGACTCTGATCGACCCCTCCGCTAGGATTTCGGGGTTCAACTGTGAGTTGGTAAGCTCCACCTCTTCCTGGAGCTTTCATAGGATGGTTACTTTTGTGTACAGTTTGGGTATAGTCGGGGCCTTGTTCCGACAGTGCTTATGACACTCTTAGAGGCTATTGTGGACACAGTATTCTGGGTTTCTTTTTATAGCTTTCAGTCTCCAGCCCATAGGCTTGGCATGTATATATATGTGTGTAGGCATGTATGTCTCCAATCGCGGCCTCGTCGACCAGCTAGTACTTTATTATTTTGGCTCGTCTACCTTTGTTTATATGGCTTATTGTTATTCAGGTCATGACCTTAATGGTCCAGGCTTAGTATTTCAGATATTGTACTGCCCGATCTGTTGGGCCCCCAGTTTAGTTAGCTAGTATGTTTCATGTCTAACTCGATCGAATAGAGTATCGAGTGCCAGTCGTGCCTCCCCTAGTTTGGGGCGTGACAAACTTGGTATCAGAGCAGGTCGTGTCCCAGGGAGTCCATAAGCCGTGTCTAGTAGAGTCTTGCTTATGGGTGTGTTGTGCACCACACTTATAATCAGGAGGCTATGAGGCATTTAGGAATGGTTATGTTTCTTTCAATTAATAGATCGTGCTATAGAGCGAAGTTATAAGAACATATGAAATCTAAATCGTGCTTTGTGTTTCTTATCTTACAGGCTACCTACGCTTAGGAGATGGCACAGCGAGAGATAGGTATGAATCCGGGGGAAGGTACCAGTCGTTCCCCACCGGGTCAGAGGGATAGATTTACCTTAGAGTCACACAGTGAGTCTCCAGTACCCCTAGTTTCAGCTTCCCCAGCACTTGTTGGAGCCCAAAGAGATGCAGTAGCCCCAGCCTCACCAGTGATATTAGTACCTGAGGCAGCTAGAGACACAGGACCTCTAGCACATGTTGTTCTGCCATCAGAGATTGGGGAGCAAGGGATGAGGGAGGCAGTTCAGTTGTTGACTATGATGGTTTCTATTCATGAGCGACAGCTAGAGTCGGGAGCAGATGCCCGGAGAGATCGGACATGAATCTCGACGGTACGAGAGTTTCTTCACTTGTCCCCTCCTTTATTTACAGGATCCAGTTCCACTGAGGATCCCCAGGACTTTATAGACCAAATGTATAGAGTATTGAGGGTGATGCATGCCTCCGTCACCGAGGCTGTGGAGTTGGCTTCTTTTCGACTACGTGATGTAGTTGTCCTATGGTATGAGGCATAAGAGAGATCTAGAGGACCTAATGCTCCGCCAGCAGAGTGGGAGGACTTCTCTGAGGTTTTTTTAGCCCATTATTTGCCACGGGAGGTTCGGGAGGCCCGTCTTGACCAGTTTCTTAGCCTGAAGCAGGGGGATATGAGTGTGAGGGATTATAGCCATAAGTTTAATTCTTTGGCGAGGTATACACCGGATATTGTACGTACCATGAGGGCTAGAGTTCATCATTCTGTGGATGGTTTGGGGGATCATCTGATTAGAGACTGTAGGGTAGCATCCCAATCGGATGATGTAGATATTTCCCGCATACAGGCTTTCGCTCAGACTACAGAGGACATTTCCCGTCGGATTCGTGATACTCGCAGGGATAGGGAGCAGAGTAAGAGGTCTCGTACTATGGGGTCTTATAGGGAGCCACGGGGTGATTTCAAGCCCCGACTCCATTGATATCCACCTCGATCAGCAGGTAGTTTCCCACCACAGATGCAGGGCCAGCGGTTTGATCGTTATGTTCAGTCAGGACCGGGGCAGAGCTCAGGCCAGCCTGAGAGCCGTCGACAGGAGCATTCCGCACAAATGAGACAGTTTATTCCTCCATGTACTCAGTGCGGTAAGCTGCACACCGGGCAGTGTAGACAGGGTTTGAGTGCATGTTATAATTGTGGGCAGACAGGACATTTTATTAGCCGGTTCCCGGGGTTAGGCAGAGGTGCACCAGCTCAGCCTTCAGGATCCACAGCAGCCTCTTCACCCTCAGTCCGTGCTCCCCGACCAGGTCCACGGTCTACTCAGGGACGTGGTAGGGGGAGAGGTGGAGGAGATACCTCAGGTTCTAGTGGTGACCAGAACCGCTTTTATGCACTCACAGGCCGACAGGATTCAGAGGCATCCCCAGATGTTGTCACAGCCAGTTGAGGTGTCTACGCCAATTGGCGACTCTATTGTTGCTAATCATGTCTATCGAGGTTGTACAGTGTTAATTAATGACCGTCCAACTTCTGTTGATTTAGTGGAATTGGTTATGCTAGACTTCGATGTCATTATGGGTATGGATTGGTTGGTAGCTTGTTATTCTAATATTGATTGTCGTGCAAAGTTGGTCCGATTTCATTTTCCGGGTGAGCATGTCCTTGAATGGAAAGGTAATGCATCTACGCCCAAAGGTAAGTTTATTTCATACCTTAGGGCTCAGAAGTTTATTGCTAAAGGCTGTATATAACATCTGGTTCATGTCAGGGATATAGATAATGAGCCAACGACTCTTCAATCGGTTCCTATTGTGAATGAATTCCCAACGGTATTCCTTGATGAGCTTCCAGGAATTCCCCCCGAAAGGGAAATCGATTTCGATATAGATTTGCTTCCTGATACGCAACCTATATTCATTCCTCCCTACAGAATGGCTCCTGCAGAGTTAAGGGAATTGAAGGAACAACTGAAGGACTTGCTCGATAAAGGCTTTATTAGGCCAATTACATCCCCATGGGGTGCTCCGGTGCTCTTTGTTCGAAAGAAAGATGGCTCCTTGCGGATGTGTATTGACTACAAGCAACTAAATAAAGTCACTATCAAGAATAAGTATCCTATTCCACGGATTGATGACTTGTTCAACCAGTTACAAGGTGCCAAATGCTTTTCGAAGATCGACTTGCGGTCCGGTTATAATTAGCTACGAGTCAGGGATATTGATATCCCAAAAACAGCATTTAGGACGAGGTATGGCCATTTTGAATTCCTTGTCATGTCTTTTGGGCTTACAAATGCCCCAGCAGCCTTTATGGATCTTATGAACCAGGTATTCAAACCATTCTTGGATGAATTTGTGATTGTGTTTATTGATGATATCTTGATATATTCACGATCGGAAGCCGAGCATGCGGACCACTTGCGAGCTGTATTCGGACTCTCCAGGACTACAGGTTATATGCTAAATCTCTAAATGTGAATTTTGGCTAACTTCTGTAGCTTTTCTTGGTCATGTTATTACCAGCGATGGTATCAAGGTTGATGGCCAAAAAATTGAAGCTGTGATGACTTGGCCGAGGCCCTTGAATCCGACAGAGGTTCGTAGCTTTTTAGGCTTGGCAGGGTATTACCGAAGGTTTGTGGAAGGATTTTCCTCTATTTCTGCACCATTGACGAAGCTGATACATAAGGGAGCTAAGTTTCAGTAGACCGAGGCATGTGAACAAGTTTTCAGGAGCTAAAGAAAAGGCTTACGACGGCACCTGTCTTGACTCTTCCGGATGGCACCGAGGGTTATGTTGTCTATTGTGATGCCTCGAGAATTGGCCTAGGTGTGTTCTTATGCAGCATGGTAAGGTTATCGCGTACACCTCCAGACAGTTGCGGAAACATGAACAGAACTATCCTACGTACGATCTTGAGTTAGCCGCAGTTGTCTTCGCCCTAAAGATTTGGCGGCATTATCTATATGGGGTTCATATTGATGTTTTCACCGACCACTAAAGCCTTCAGTATTTATTTAAATAGAGGGAGATGAACCTACGACAAAGAAGATGGCTAGAATTACTAAAGGACTATGATATTGATATTTTATATCATCCCGACAAAGTTAATATTGTTGCTGATGCTCTTAGCCAGAAGTCCATGGGTAGTCTAAGCCATGTTAAAGTTGATAAGGTCAAGATGACCAAATATCTATGCCAGCTAGCTAGTTTGCAGGTGCATTTGGTAGATGCAGAGGGTGAACGCATTCTCGTTCAGAATACGGCAAAATCTTCTTTTGTTACTGAAGTGAAAGAGCGACAACACGAGGATCCTGAGCTTATAAAACTGAGGGAAAGTATTCTACAGCAGAGACAACCTTTATTCGAGCTAACTAGAGATGGAGTCCTTAGATACCAGGGCCNNGGACCTTCGACAGATCTATTGGTGGAATGGAATGAAAAAAGATATCGCGGAGATGGTAGCCCAATGTCCTAACTGCCAGCAAGTTAAAGCCGAACATCAGAGGCCTGAAGGCCTAACTCAGTGTATTGAACTTCCATTATGGAAATGGGACATGATAAATATGGACTTCATCACCGTTTTGCCTCGCACTCCACGGAGGTATGATTCTATTTGGGTAATTATTGATAGGCTTACAAAATCTACTCATTTTCTGCCAGTCAGGACGACATATTCAGCCGAGAATTATGCCAAGCTTTACATTTGGGAGATTGTACGCCTTCACGGGGTACCATTATCTATTATCTCTGATCGAGGGGCTCAATTTACAGCACATTTTTGGAAATCTTTTCAGAAGGGTCTAGGCACGCAGGTAAATTTTAGCACAGCTTTTCATCCGCAAACTGATGGACAAGAAGAGCGTACTGTTCAGACAGTTGAGGATATGTTACGTGCTTGCGTGCTAGATTTTAAAGGAAGTTGGTATGATCATCTACCTCTTATTGAGTTCGCTTATAATAACAGCTTCCAAGCTAGTATTCAGATGGCCCCTTACGAAGCACTATACAGGCGGAAGTGTAGGTCGTCGATCGGTTGGTTTGAGGTCGGGGAAGCAGAGTTGCTAGGTCCTAATTTAGTCCAGCAAGCAATGGAAAAGGTAAAA